GCAGAAACATCACAGAATGCTTTTTAGGAAAAAAAAAGATCTTGGGACTGCAGATAATAGCCTGTGAAATGAACAGGGAGCCTGCAACATGGTAGAGAAGGTTAATTAGCCATGTTCTAATGTTTGCATTGGAACACTGCAGAAGAAAGCTGGTACAGTACAGTTTCAACATCCAAAGATAATCTTGATGTACCAAACTCTACTCTAGCCCCTCTGCACCTCCAACCTAAATTTAATTTTAATAGTAGAGAACTCAAACATGACTTATTTTCTAGTGCAATACAAATTATTCATCATTTTTATAATAAGTACCTTATTTCAAATTACTTGATATTTTCAAGACCAAATTTTGAAGAGTGTGAGATAGAAATGTTGTTGACTTACAGCAAGAACATGAGAATCTTGGAAGGTAAGAACCCAATGAAAAGTTGCTCTGCAGAAGAAAGAGTCTCCTGTTCCAAGCTTACTGAACAGCAGCTTCGTTGATAGTAATAGCTTTAACAGAGAGATGTTTACTTTTTTAATAAATAAAAATAAAGTAGATTTTTAGAAATGACTGAAAACCTGAAACACATATCACTGTTTAAACTGGAAACCACTAAATTTTCTTTTCCATGCATGTACAAAAGTCAAAGAAGGGAATTTTGCCATAGTATCAACTACCAATACATTTTCTACATATAAGTGAAATCAATTCAGCATAACAGCTTTTGGGGTAACTTAGAAATTACTCAAAATCCCTAGGTAGATATAAATACATAAGTCTTCATCCTGAAGACCTATAGCCATTAATAAAAAATTTCAACTCTTTTTGATGCAAATAAGTCTTGACAAAACTCTTTTTTAGCACATAAGTCTTCCTTAAAAACACTGTACTAGTATCTTCAATTAGTATCATGGAACAAAACTAATATAAAACAAAGAGAAATTATCATTGAAAAATACGTAAAACTCAAGTAATATGAGCAATTTCTTAGTATATTAGTCTCAAAGTGAGACCAATACAATCTTGAGAAGTCTGCTACCAACCACGGAGTTAGATGTGATTAACTCTACATCATATGGATGACTGTTACTACCTGGGGCTGTTCATTACTAATACTCTTTGAGAAATGCTCAAACCAAGAATTAAAATTTTCCTCAAGATTTTCTGGCATAAGCTTTTGGTATTATGGTATATTGTAGAGACATAAATAATGGGTGAGTAATGCCTGGTTCATGAGTAAAAGGAACAGATTTAACAGCCTACAGTACAGACAGAAAACATGTGTTATTTAGTGTAGATGAGACCTGTCAGCAATGGGTAACAAGAGCCACCCTGGAAGGGGCAGCCCAGGACACAGTCTTACTGAAGATGGTGGGATCAGGACCCCTGCTCTGTCTTTTCTAAATGCTTATCATAAAACTAGTCCATGGCCCTAACTACTATCAGGAAATGCAGAAGAGCTACAGAGAGAATTTCCTGTAAGATACCCAAGGACATGTGAGTAGGTGAAAATAACACACAGTAACCTTCTCAAGAGTCATGAAAGTGACTTCAACTAGAATACTTCCCACAGAAAATCCAGTATTAATACATAAACAGAGGCTGAGTAACAGTTTACTATTGTATCTTTATCTCTGTCTAGAAGCCTACAATGATATTTAGTTTTGCTACTGATTAAGCAAGATGTCACATTGGAGACATGAATATGAATATTGGTCTATTAGGAAAAGAATCATTCTCTTATCCATCAAACTAACTTTGCTATTCAAGCATCGTAAGCCAGATGGTGGTGGTGCACAATTTTAATCCCAGCACTTGGGAGACAGAGGCAAGCAAATCTCTGTGAATTCGAGGCCAGCCTGGTCTACAAAGCTACACAGAGAACCCTGTCTCGAAAAATTTTTTTAAAAAGCATCTTAAAATAAATTGCCCCTTAAAAAAAATCCATCTCCAATTGACAGTTTATATAGGATTAGAAACATCCAAGTTTAATCACTGACTCTCCTTTAAAAAGCTTCTTTTGAAAGTTACATTTAAACAAGTTTCCTAAAATGGTGCCAGGAAAGTTCTGTGCATATATGACCCCAGGACAGCAAAACTCTAAAAGCTTTACATTTATGTTTCACTAAAGAATTTGGTGCTTTATATGGAAACAGAACCAACTTGGAAACCATCAATAGGACAGCTCTAGGTTCCAAGTACATAAAAGTTAAATGAGAGAGAGAGAGAGAGAGAGAGAGAGAGAGAGAGAGAGAGAACTATAGAGTAAGATATGTGAATATTTCTCAATTGGCAAAAATATGATAATTTTTAAAGATTTATTTATCATTTTTATCTATGCATATGTGTGTGCTTGTGTGAATTTATGTGTATCATGTACAGTGCTCACAGAAGCCAAGAGAGGACAATATTTCCAACAGAACCAGAGTTACAGATGGTGTGAGTGCGGAGAACCAAGCCCAGGTCCTCTGCAAGTGCAGAAAGTGTGCTAATTCTCTGAGCATTCCAGTTGCAATAATAAGTAATTTTACATTGCATTTACAAGACAAGTGCACACTAAGAGTTACTACTACATGTAAGAAAGTGATCTTCCAACAAAGTCATTCATCTGTTCTTCTCTCATTATTATACAAAACATGTTTGTTTTCCTATCTCCAGATGTTTTATCATTTTAAACAGTCTCAAGTGTTTAAACTCCTTTCCAAATTATCATGAAGGTGCTTGTCTTGAGGTCTAGTCTCTGTCTACCTCAGGAGAACTCCAGAGTACTCAAAGGTATATTCAATAATAGTTTTTTATCCCTTCAGGATCCTTTGTCTGGAAAGTTTCATAAAACATCATTTTCGTTTGCTATAACTACTAGTAAATATTTAACAAGATAATCTTATTCTTTGAAAATTCATCCATTTATAATTCTTTGCTTATTTATGCTTACTGTTGGCCTAAACTGACCCAAACCAAATCCCCAGACTCAAATTTCTTGGAGACTTAGATTCAGGGACCTGGAAAGGATATTAAAGAATATCCTCTCAACTCCTTCATTTATGGTTGAGGACAGCAAGCCCAGAAAAGATAGCTGAGTGACTGACTTTGGGCATGTTTCCTTCCAGTGGAACAACCAGAAGCTGAAGCCAGGTCTCCTGATGCTCAGAAAGGAGCCAGGTCTCCTGATTTCTAATCCAAGAATCTTTCCATTACACACACTGACTCTGTTCTCAGAGACTGTGTTGGGCTGCTCACACTGTTCAGACCACTTTGAGAATGATCACATTGATTAAACAGAACACCTTGATGACCTAGTCACCCGACACTGGGTCATGACTGTGTAATCAGGCTATGCTGTACTCACTCACCCTTTCCTCCTGTCCTAACATCTCCATGGTCCCTTGTTGATCACATTATTAATTACAACTCATTAATTACCTTCTTCATAGCAGTGAAAGATTTAGCCCCTAACAAATCTCATAAAAATTAATAATTCTACTGAACTTTATAAATGGAAAAATAACTCATATCATATTAAATATAACCCATGAACTAAGTAATATGTATATTTTAAATATTTCGTCTCACAAACTTGCAAAACAGACATAATGGATATCTCACAAAACAATGCACAGAGAGTTCAGGGCTAGGAAGAGGCAACTGGAGTTCAAGCATCAACAGATTCACTAGAGCCATGTTCTGAATTTCTGCATCACAATTCCAATGACAAATCATATCTGTAGCAGATGACTGGAAGTTAATAAATGATCAACTTAATAGTCATCAGTGTGCTCTGAAAAGACAGAAGCTAGGGAAGCAACAATTCTGTCTGATGAAGTTAAAAGTTCCTTCTTAGAATGAGTGGATTACTAATAAGTGCAAGTAAGTGTCTTGTTTGTGTTACAGATAGCCCTATGGTAAGGTGGAGGACATTGCTGAGGGGAGGGGATCCTGAAAACCTTTCTGAAGGGTATATTGCCTATACCCACATTTGGTAATTCTGGTTAAACCATAAAGTTGGTCAAAATGCAGTGATTATGATAAAAAGTAAGTACTTCTCATAGGTACTTAAAAAAAAAAAAAAGCACCTAAGTATAAAAGCCAGAGCAACCAAGAAAACTCTGCAAAAGGCTAATGGGTCCCCAATCTTTGCTAGGAATTCATCCAGAGATGTGCAGTATGCAAGCCCTATCTTCCTAGCTAAGTGAAGCCTATACCTTGCAGGATAACTTCAATGATAAACAGTATAGGAGGCTCCACACTGCCAACCACAGAGCACCACACAAACTCCTTATTCAACACTCAAATCTTCTATCCTGAAAACTCTATAAGAACCCACCTAAAGTTGTGACTCATTCTTCTCTGGGGAAATCTGTCACTGGTGATGCTGTGGCAAAATGTATGACAAACCTTTAAATGTACAAATCTGTATATACCCTTCATTGTTTTACTTTCATCCTTAGAGTTCCCCAGACAAAAGAAAAGGCACCATTAGCAGGCAGTATCATTTTCCTCAACAACAATGCTTTTTCAAAAAGGCACACTGAAAGGAAAACACAATTTAGTTCAAAGCTAAATTACTCTAGTCAACCCACTTGGACAAAGCATAGGCATTCTGCCTGAGTTCAGGCTCTCAGCAGTTTTGGAAGGTGTGCTGTAAAAGTAGGGCAAGAAAAACAGTTTTAGAGGCAGATTTCATAGAGCCTGCAGCACAGGTCAAAGTGGTCAGCTACAAACCCATGAGTCAAAAATAAATCAGACAAGAACAGAAACAGTATAAGCAACTTGACCGCAGATTTCCACATTCCAGTGCAGGATTCTGGAATATGAAACACAGCTAATGTGAGAGTCACTGGGAAATTCATTTAAATTTCCACAGGATTCGAGTTTCCCAGATGAAAAATCCCAATAAAGAAGGTCTTTCTTTCCCAGGTGTTGTCACATGCTGGGGAGAAGGACACTATGAGAGGAGGTGAAACACACAAGACACTGTTATCTTTGCTCACAAAGTGATATCCTATAACCTTACCTAATAGATTGGTTAACCACAAGGCCAAGTCTTCTTTCATTGGCAGCAAATTAGCTTCATGTCTGCTGGCCAGCCACTGGCTGTACTGATGCATATCAGACAGGCCAGGTCCGCTGCGAACCTTGGGGCTCAGGGCAGTGCACATCATTTATCCACTCTGCACACCTGATGCGGAGACGAGAGAGTAAGAGCTTTTCAGACAGGTTAAAATTTTAAAATTCCACCACTATGACATTGTAATGAGGCCCATCAATGGGCTTCCATGATGTTGGATCAGGTTATTGATTATTAAATCCAGGAAACATTATTTATTTTATTCTTTTGGCTCTCTTACTTTTTGCCAGCTACTTGATAACAGCATCAATCAAAGGTCAAGGAGAAAATCAAACAATAAATGCTTAGCTCATGTAAAACAATGTATTTGAAAAGGGCCAGCTTCAGGGGGCAAGAAATCCACTCTATGCAAACACAGCAAAATATGGTTAAATAGAGATGCTAGTGTCCGGTTTGTTGTTGTTGTTGTTTTAAGTCAGAGACTTCTACAGAATTTGAGTGCTGAACATGAGCACTAACAGTATTCCCACACTTTGTAGTAAACACTTGGCAATTGTTGGTAAGATGTCTAAAAGATTAAGCAGAGCATGCAGTTTGTTGGTGATGGAAAACTCATTCAAGGACTCATGATTAAAGTACTAAGTATAGGGTAGGAGAGAAGGGGTCTCCACTACAATTCTGAAAGTCATATAAATCCAAAGTCAGAGGGGACCAATAGCATCAGCAACCTGACTCCATGACATCACAGTAGAGTTAGGCTAGATTCTTGGTCTTCAAACCCCAAGAGCTCTTTCCATGAAGACACAGTCTGACAGAGTGCATTAATGAAAGACACTGTTCTGACAACCACTGCCGCTGGTGGCCTTTGCTCCTTTCCCATGATTTTCTCCATGCTCTGCATCCTCTTAATTTTGTTTTAGATATTGAGTTTTGTTTATAATCATTTTAGAGCAGAAGTTCTCCAATGTTTTCCATTGAAAATAAGAGTGGCAGAGAATTTGCCTAGCATGTTAGAGATCCTGTGTTAAAGCATAGCACAATGAAAAGTAATAAATGAAATAAGGTTATTTCATAACCCAATCACTTCACTGCACACATAGCACAAACCTTTATTTGAATCACAGAAAAAAGATTTAAATAATAAATACTTTAAAGTACGGAAATATATTTAAGTATTTAAATATTTAAGTTGGCCTTAAGTATATCATCTTTGTCTGAGTTATTGGGGGGGCAGGGTCACACATAACCCAACCCAAGATGGCCTCAAATGCTATACAACTGAGGGTGACCTTGACCTTCTGATTCTGCTGCCCCACCTCCTGAGTTCTGGGATTACAAGTGTACCCCACCATACTGTATATGGGGTGCTGGGAAACAATCTCAGAGCCTTCTACATGGTAGGCAAGCACTCTCTTCTTGAGTTACAACACCAACCCCTGTATGAATTATTTGTAAGATCTGATGCTACTTAAGCAAAATAACTATATTGAAGCTGTCATTTATCTGATATAAAATTGTTTCACTGTTGTTTACAACAGCTCAATCATTTCAGCTAGATTCTACGTCACCCTAACCATCTCTGGCTATACACCAGTACATGCATAAAAGGACCAGAAATATATATCAAATGACAATAAACATGAGGGTGTTTGCAACAGGCAAGTCGTTGGATGCATGTGACATCCTAGATATTTCATCTGAGCATTTCAAAATGAGTAAGTTACATGCTATCTTTGGGATTTTACTCTTTCAAATTTTGCACAGCATCCTTTGTAGTTATTCTCAAACTGTAATTACTTAGATTAATTTCTTTTAAAAATTTACTTTTAAGTAAATAATCTAGTTCTATTTTTTAATGAAAAATGTGGTTATCTCCAAAATCTTAGAAAAGACTATTGGGAGAGGTAGTAAATAAATAAAGTATATAATAAATACACAACTGAAAGATACAATTTCATTTTGATGTGCTTACACTTTTGACAATCTCTCAGTATCTGAAATGAAGCATTAGGAAGATGATCTGTGTTTATTACACCTTGTCATAAGCTTAGTTTGTTAGGGTACAAATTAGGATGTTGCTGCTGTTTACTCTGTCCTGGTTAATAACATCATTGCTCAGAGTTTCACAGAGTTCACTTCTGTGACTAAATATCAAAAACAGCTGAAACATTTTCAATCCCAATTCTTTTAAAATTATGTTCATTCCCAGCAAAACAATACCTCTGTCTGTAGCTAATGAGGATCTTATAACCTGTCAACATGCATGTAATCAATCATACATCTAAGCACATGAGCCATTCATTTAAATAACTAATTGAAATCTTAAAAGGGTTACCTCTAAAATGCCTCCTTCTCAAGACACAATCTCTCCCACTACTTCCCTGAAAGTGAGATATGGTCTCACAGTAACTCTACCTACACCCTATTGTGTGTCCTGTGACTCTCATTGAAGCTTCAGAGCCCTGTGTCGCTCTACAAAGGCAAGAAGACGCCTCGGGTTCTGAAGCTCATTGTCCAGCATAGAATCCATCAGGGGATCGCTTACAGTGAGCCTAATGGCATGTAACAGTTCTAGTGAGTCAGAGGGACACAATCCTTCCCCTCAACATTTCTAAACAGTGAAGTTGTTATTTTCCTTGACAGTAGCACCTTTATTTCCCATGCAATCTCTCTTGTGTCTCATCAGAAATGTAATCCAAACTATCTCCTTATATGAACAGATGCATCACTTTAAAAAGTAAAGGTAATTAAGCTGGGTTTATTTTGATATTTTTTACATAACCACAATTTTAGTAGAGACACTCAGTAAAAATGGGTCAGATTTTCCCAGAGCCCAATGTGAGAGAAAGAAGGCTTAATTGGTAATTCAAATACTATGAAGGTTACAGAACTATGACAAATACAGAGAGACACAGAGGTATTTTAACAGACCAGACTTATCTAAGTCCTGTCTAAAAAGAAGAAAGATGAGCAACCTAATTTTTCTTGCTCCATTATTTGTATTTAAAATCATCACTATCACTATACTGAGCACCACTCAGTGAGTCTCTTTAAAGTCTCCACCTTCAGGTCTTAGAATTAGTTGAAATTGAGCCAGGAGGTGCAGCACATGCCTTTAATCCCAGCACTAGGGAAGCAGAGGAAGACAGTTCTCTGTGTTCAAGGCCAGCCTGGTCTACAGAACAAGTTCCAGAACAGCCAGAGCTACACAGAGAAACCCTGTCTTGAAAACAAAACAAAACAAAACAAAAAAGAATTGGCTGAAATCAGATAGGAAACAGAAATGGACCCAGCCAGAAGGAATAAAATATGGAGTCTGAGGAATTAACTGCATAGTGAAGTAGATTCTGGTTGAAACGACTGAACTGGAATGAAAGAATGAATGGAAGCAAGAAAGCAAGCAAAAATGCACATAGAGGGGGAGGAGTAGGAAGGAAGAAAGAAAGGAGGGAAGGAAAAAGAAAAGAATAGAGATAGTGACAGTAGACAGTAGAAGCAGGCCTTGGAGGTAGAAAAGGAAAAGTGGAAGCGGGAAACAAGATGTAAGATGATCAAAGTATATTAAACATATTAGTTGTATAATTAAAAATGATAAAATTAAAAAGTAAAGATATGAATCACTTAGAAAATATATTCTAGTTCAACTTTTTAAAAAATTCAAAAGTTCATAATAGTTAAATAAAACGATAACTATGGAATTTGTCCTTTTATAATTTGCAATACATATTGAATGTGCCTAGATGAACTCTGGTAGATCCTAAAGAAAAACTAAGGAAAAGATTATGCCAGTTCTTTGGAGTACATTTAAAGTTTCTAAGAAAACAAAAATGTGTCAGGAGTACATTTAAAGACAGGAAATAAAATGATCAATGAGACACTGAAGAAAAAAAGTCAGGATAAGGAGAAGTTTTCATAGCTTAACAATGAAAGATATTTTCAATAAAAATTTTGTAATCTAAATATTTTAAAAGATCAATCAACAATTTTGTTAAATATTAAACCCAACCAACTGGAAAGAGTAAGACCTCAAATATGTGTACGAACGAATTCACTAAATTAGAACTCCGGCAAGCTTTCTGTGTCTGCACATGGGTAACTGAACTATAGGACTTGGGAAACATAAAAAATAAATCTTAAAGGGGAAAACACATTGAAACCTACACAAAATCCTTCAAAGATTGTTAATTTTCCCTTTCTTTCATAGTAAAGGTGACTCTGAAATAGCAATTATGGATGTGATGAGACATGGATAACCCCAAGGGAAGGAGAAAAAGTTAATGAGCCTGAAAGTAAAACATCACTTTTAAATGCTGTCTAGCCAAGTACTCCAGAATGCAGCTGGAGGCATGATTTTACTCTGAAAAAAAAAAAAAAGAAAGAAAAAGAATTCTTCCATGCCACCTAGAGGTGTGCTTTGATTATGGCCAAAATGGTTTCTCCCATCTCTAGAAGGCTAGCATGGCAGAAAAAAACATACTGCAGTAGTATACAGAAAATAAATTATAAAGAAAAAACAGGAGCAAAAACTAAAAAGTATTATACTACTCTTGTCTTCTGTGAGATTTCAAAATCTCACAGAATAGATAGAATATAGGAGATGAAATCCAAATTCCTAAAGTGAAGTAAGAGCTCTATGACCTAGCCATTTAGAAACTGCACATACCATTAAACTTTTCTCTTAGTATCTGAGTTGTTCACTGTGTACTGTGGACATGAGCATTTCAAAAATTGTGAAGATTCAACATTTATGACATTACTTGGCAAATATTTCAAGTTCAATGCAATCTATATGCAATCTAAATCATTACTATCACATGCCAAAATAAAACATCCAATGACTTATTTTGAAAAGAAGTTCTTTAACAAAATAGGATTTGCCCAGATAACTCTCAGTCATTAATATGAAAAGATAGAAGACATGGAAATGTCAACAGATAGAGTATGAATAAACAATCGCATGCCATTAAAGATCCAAAATTCTCTTCATATTGAGGATGTTGCACAAAAGCTTATGTGCAGGATTTTAAGCAGTAAAATGACTTTATATGGAGTTAAAAATGGTAACAAAGAATACTATACTTTGATATGAGTTAAGAATAATAATCTATTAATATAACAAGATTCTGTGCTCATTGAAACCAATAGGTGGTTAGAGATGCTACCCAAGCCTCCTTTCTGTCTCCCTCTCTCCCTCCAGCCCTCTTATCTCCTTTACAAAAAGCCACTAAAAGTAGTGAGGCCCAATGAATGTGCAGCCAAGAGTTCCACCTTTAAAGGCCTCTTCTATAATAAAGGCCTCACTTTTAACCAGTAAATTTTATGTGTTAAAGGTTCCAGACAAGGCAGAAACAAAGACTATAGGTCATTAAGACTGTCTTTTAAAATTAAAAACAAAACCAATGTGACAATCCAAAAACTCTTCCAAAAGAGAAAATGCCATTCTTGACCTAGACTTAAAGAATGAAAGTCCAAGGATGATTTATTCTACCTTCTGAAAACTTTATTGTCATGTGACTTATTTTGACCAACCAGTAACATCTCTGCAAAATGTAGATCCTCAATCAACTCTCAGGATACAAAATGTTTGCTCTTGCTATTTTTTCCTACTATTAAAACCATTTTCCCCACAGGTAATAAAATCTGATTATGAATTCAATTCCTCTTACTCCTCCCAGTTCCTCCCACCTCCTCTCCTGTTGGAATCCACTCATTTTCCGTCTCTAATTAGAATACTGTTTATATTCGATTGATTGGTGTTTTACCTTGGTTTGACTATGTAGCTCATTCTACACCAACGCACTATGTAGTTCACCAGCTTGGCCCACTATTTAAGTGCTCATGCATCAACCTCCCAATTCCTGGGATCACATGTCTACACCCTATTCCAAGTTATGAATTTGAAACCTTATTAAAAGTGCCTAATCAGAAAATAAAGTCCACAATTTAATCATAAAAGCAGTTTCAGATCTTGTAATGGGACTATAACCTCTGTCAAGTGACCAAATCAAAAATAAATTGAGCAAAATAACATACAACTTTATTTAAGTGACTGGAGAATAGCCTCAAAAGGCTCTTGGAAAATCTACCTGGAGAATTCTCATATATTCATGAGATTGGTAGCATAGGAAGATATTTTGCCCAAAGTAATGGGATATTCACACAGTCATTAAGTCTCTCTACCCTCCTTGTACATAGACGGTGTTTTAAACTCTTTAAGCATTTATTTCTTATTGAAAGCCAATTGATGACTTATTTTGGATAATACAATCTCTCTCTCTCTCTCTCTCTCTCTCTCTCTCTCTCTCTCTCTCTCTCTCTTACACATACACACACACACACACACACACACATACACACCTCTTTTTCAAGACAAAATATAAAAATAATTTTGGCAGTTGAGTTTTTTTTTAAGTCATTTATCTAAAAATCCTTCTAAACCATTCTCCCAAACAGGAAAGTACAGACTTTTAGACCTCTGCCAGATTAAACAGAGGCATAATTTGAGTAGAAAACCATCCAAAATCATTAATTGGAAATTATAATGGCTCACATTAAAAGTTTATATAAGTTGATTTGGAGAGCCTTAATTCATGGGAGGATTTGCATTTTGTTCATAACACAAAAATTATATTTTAACTCAAATGCAGGAATTAATTATCAGTATTCAGCATTCTCTTCAGATATATGCAACATATACATGTTCTATATATATATATATACATACATATATTTGCAATATAGATAGATGATAGATTCTTCATGTAGAGAGAAAATAGAAAATGTCAATTGGACTATCCCTGAAAAAATTTAATAGAGGAAATTTCCAAGCACTTTAACCCACCTTGGCAAGGCTATTTCTACTCTCTCTCTCCTGTTCTTTCCTCTAGTCTAACAACACGGAGCGAAAAATGTCAGTAGCACTTCAAGAAAAATGAAAGGAATTGGCTCTTGTTTGAGACACAATATCAAAACCACAAAAATAATGCTACAATCTCTGCAGAAATTTTAAACAAATTTTCCTGGAATCATGTTGTTAGAAGTACACCAGTTGTTTTAAACAGCTCCCCGAACCTGTGCAGTCAACCTCCACTCTGGAAGTACTAAAAGGCATGTTGCTGCAGGTTAAATTAAGTCCTGAAGTTTTACCACACCTTCAAGCTCAAAGTTTAACTCTTGGTACCAGGATGCTATAAACTCGCTGGGCAATCACAAGTCCTCTGACTCTGGCGAAGTGTGAATTCTGCCATATCAATTTGTTTCCCAGCAAAGCAGTGTCCACAACACAAAGCTGGTCGCTTATCGATAAAATGAAGAGATGCACCTAAAGCTCAGTGGCACAGGGCGGAAACCCAAACTACCTTTCCTAGTCAGAAAGTTCCCAGACAGCCTTCAGCACAGACTCCCCTGGGCACCGTCAAGGCGCAGCGCCCTGGTCTTGGTTCCTCTGGCTCTTACCTTCTCTTAAGCAGTTAGAACCTGAACACCCATGTTGGAAATGACCACCACCACACTCTCCACAGCTAGAGCAGAGCATTCCTTGAAGAAGGGCTCATTGATCGATGCCAAAGACAAGCTAGGCAAATCAGATGCGAGCTGTAGTTATGAGCACAGACTAAGAGGTTGGGGGGAAAGCAGCAAAGAGCACAGGGTTTGTTCTCAGCCCTGCCTCTCAGTGTCTCTTGGGACAGGTGGGAAGGAAAGGAGGACTTCCTGTGCCTGGCGGATACTCCCAACCTGTCTGAGCCTTTATTTAACACCAAAAGGCCAGATGGGTGTCCCTCTGAACACGTAGGTCTTATTTCCTCTACATAAAATCTCGTGTGAACAATTTGTCAAGCTTTCTTGGAGAGGTTTGAGATAGTGGGCGGAAGTCATAAAAAAAAAAGTTGAAGATAAAGAAGTGATTAAAAAACAGTGATCGGGAGAAAAACCCACCCCACCCCCCACGTGTAGTGGAAAACAGAAAACAGAATGTTGTGAACTGAGTTTGCACCGATTCTGATCCTACACTAGGAACTCGAGATGTCTGGACCAAGTCAATCCTTTACAGAGTATCAACAATTTAATTTTGCCAGGATAATTAACACCTCCAAAGAAAAGTTGACTCCTTTGCTCCCTAAACAGTTTCAGACTCCAGGCATTCCTGGCTGGACTAAAATGAAATACCACATCGAAATACAAAATTATGGATAGACAAATTAGCATTTGTTCACACGCATACGAAGATTCAACTATTCAACTCACAAAGTCACCCCAAATTGCTTTACAGCAATTTCCTCACTCCCTTCCTCTCCTTCCTCACTCCCATTAAATCAAACCCTCAGGACATGTGACTAAGATCCCCAATCAACCCACATTCCCCCCACAATCGCAGAGCATGCAAGGCGTTAGACTCGCTGGAGCATCACTCCTGTGTACATTTATGTCCACACGCTAATGAGACTTCCTCACTTCCGCCCCTGGTTGGCTGAGAGGTCCCAGTGGATTTCTGGCGCTGCTCAACAATAGGGATGGAGGGATGGAAGTTGTTTCCAGGGCATCAGGAGGTCCCCCACTCACTGCAGGGAGCACCGCTCACCCTGGGTGCCGTGCTGCTTCCAGGCCCCTCCCCCGCGCCTTCTTGCTGTAGTACAATTGAGAGGCCCCTCCTGGTTGCAGGGCCCCCTCCAGGCTGCGTGCTCACCCAGCCCGCTGCTCCGACAGCTCAGCTGCAGCAGCTCAGCAGCGCCTGTGCTCAGGGCTGCTCCACTGTGGCTTCTGCAGATACAGGTCCTGTGGTCCAGGCTCCTCACAGCCCAGCAGCACCGTGGCGGCAGCTGTGGCCGTGCAGGCCCTCTTCATACTTCTGTGATGGCTCCTCTTGGTGCTGTTTGGGAAAATGATTTTAATCCCTCTCGCCAGAAACAGATTTCCTACATTTCATCAGTCCACACGGACTGAACGGAAGTAAAATGCTTACTTTTCCCCCCCTGCTAGACAGCAAATGCAGTTGACACTGATTTACCCTTCAAATGGGAGAGATTGTATTACAAGCCCTTGGCAGCAAATCCAAGTTGGGGCCAAGCCCCAGCCCCTTGCCTGTCCCCCAAACACTAACCTAAGAGAGTACGGGTGGGGATCAGGGAAGGGATCACATTTAACTTCAGGGTTTTAACAGTAAATGGCTTTAGCACAATGTAAAAATTGGGTGTTGGAAAAGGTTTTCTTTCCTGGCCTGTGAGTTTGCACACTCTGTGGCATGAGCTTTCTAGTAACTTGGGCCAGTGTTCACTCCAAATAGAAGAATGTGCTGTCTTACAATTATGTTTAAATATTAGATTTTAGAAGGTTCTGCACCCAGGGCTGCTTCTGCTTTAGAAAGGAAATGTGATTCTGTTCTTCCCCCAGTCACACAGTGTTGTGTTGGACATCACAGACAATTAACCCAACTGCAGTGTATTAGGGCATGGACTTTAAGATGAAAAGATGTTGGACTGTCCCATTCACCTGAGGGGCAGTGGCCTCTGGCTGGGTGTCCCGTTTCCACTTCCCACAGGGTCTGCTGCAAGGAATCACCTTGTGCTCTTCATAAATTCAGTTATGTATGTCTCTATCCAGTGTTCATGGCTAAAGCACACAGGTTTAAAATAAAGTGGGGCATGCTGACATCCCTTAGCAGAAAACAGCAAAACCAACTACCCATAAATCTACAATAGCAAAATAATGCAGACAACTTTAGCCAAAATTAAAAGTGCATTCTGCTCTTGGGCATTTACCCAAAGGATGCTCAATCATACCACAAGGACATTTGCCCAACAGTGTTCATAGTAGCATTATTTGTAATAGCCAGAACCTGGAAACAATCCAGATGCCCCTCAACGGAAGAATGGATAAGGAAAATGTGGTACATTTACACAATGGAGTACTACTCAGCTGTAAAAAATAATGACCTCATGAAATTTGCAGGCAAATGGATGGAACTACAGCAGTATATATTCACTTATAAGTGGATACTAAATGTAAAGAAAAAGATACCCAAACTACAATCCATAGCTCCAGAGAGCTAGGTAACAAGGAGGACCCTAAGAGGAACACATGGATAACCCTGGGAAGGGAAATTAGATGAGATCTACAGGGCAAACTGGGGGTGGGGAGGGCAGATGAGAACAGGAGGGAACAAGATGGCCTAGGTGGGGAGATATGCAGTAGAAGAGCAATGAAAAAGATATCTTAATAGAGAGAACCACTATGAGTTTAGGGAAAAACCTGGTGTAAGGGTAACTCCCAAGAATCCACAAGGAGGACCCCAGATAAGATTCCTACCAATAGTAGAGAGTTTGCCTGAACTGGCCTATGCCTGTAATCAAATTGATCAATACCCCAACTATCATCATAGACCCTTCATCCAGTAATTGATGGAAACAGATGCAAAGACAAATAATCAAGAACCAGGCTAAGCTCCGGGAATCCAGTTGAAAAGAGAGATGAGGGAAATATGACCAAGGGAGGTCAATATCATGATGGAGAAATCTACAGAGACAGTTGAACCAAGCTCATGAAAACTCATAAACTCTAGAGCTACAACTGTGGAGACTCCAGGGGACTGAACTAGGTCCTCCATATGTGGGAGACAGATGTGAACCTTGGACTAGCTGAGGGGCCCCTGGCAGTAGGACCACAATAGAAACCTGGTACATGAGCTAGCTTGTTGGAGCACATTCCCCATGGTGGAATGGGGAAAGTGCCTTAAACCATGGTAGGGGGCCTGATCCTGCCCCAACCAGGTGCCAGACTATGTTGACTCCTCATGGGAGCCCTAAGCTGTGAGGAGGAGTGGACTGGGATAAGTGGGAGGTTAGGAGGGATGGGAGGAGGACAGGAGGTGAGAGGAGGGGTGGGAGAGAGAAATGTGGTTGGAATGTAAAATGAAATAAAAAATGGGAAAAATGCATTCTGCATTTATTATTGCTTACATCTGGAAGGGTTATTTGTTCTAAAAGGTCCAGATATGGCACCAGTTATTTGCATGTAGTGACAGTACAAACAAAAAGAGAAAGACAACAATGGAAAATTAAGGTTTTCATTTCAATTAGATTTGCTATTGCAACTGTTGGCTCCACAGCCCTTCTTAGCACCCCAAAAGAAAAGAGAAAAGGATATTTTCTCAAACTGAGAATGGACAGCACCCAAAAATGCCATACATAAAAAACCGCACTTAAAAGACAACTTGGTGAACTGGAGTGCATTAACATGAGTAACACCATTCCTCAGTTTGACCTGGTTTGAGTTTTCATAGAACCCCCACAAGGCATTTTGAATTTCTGATCCTTTACATAAAAAGTTTCTATCCTTGATGACAATTTTTTATGACCAAAACACATCATCCAGTAAATGTTAATGCATATTTTCAGCAGACAACACAAGAGTTCAAAAGTTTACCACCCTGGGCTTTCAAAATCTTTTATTTTAGATAAAATAATCTTGTCTTATTGTTCATTACTTCAGTTGGGGCCCCGACTCTCCCATTATTTGGGGATTTCATTTAGATAACCTTTGCATATGTATATACTTTAGGAAGTTCATTGGTTTCCACATTACCCCACAAATGGCCCTTAACTTTAGCCGACTCTTCCCATATGCCCTCCCTTGTCTCCTTCTTCCACCCCCTCCACTTAATCCTCCCATCCCAGTTCCACCCCCATCCATCCATAACTATCTATTTTATTTCCCTTTCCTAGAGAGATCTATCAGCCTCTTGCCCCAAGTCCTTTACTGTACACCTACTCTCTGTGGTTTCACAGACTTAACAGTTAATATCCACATCTAAGTGAATATATACCATATTTGTCCATTTTGTAAATATACCACATTTTCTTTATTCATCCTTTTGTTGAGAGAAATATAGATTGTTCCAATTTCTGGCTATTATGAATAGAGCAGCAATGAACACGGCTGAGCAAGTGTCTCTATGGTAGGATGAAGTGTTCTTTGAATATATGCCCACGAGTAGTATAGCTAGATTTTGAGGTAGATTCCCATCTTCCTGAGGAATTGCCATGTTGATTTCCATAGTTGAAGTAGAAACTGGCACTCTCATCAGCAGTCAATGAGTGTTCCCCTTGCTCCACATCCTTGTCAACATGATCAGTCATTTGTTTTATGGATCTTAGCCATTTTGATGGTTGTAAGATGAAATTCAAAGTAGTTTTGATTTGCATATCCCTGATGAATAAGGATATTGAACATTTCTTTGTTTCTCTTTTTAGTTTTTCTTTTGAAAATTCTCTATTTAAATCTGTAGACCATTTTTTAAATTGCCATGCTTATATCTAGCTTTTTGAGTTCTTTATATGTTTTGGGTACTAGCTCTCTATAAGATATGTAGTTGGTAAAAAAAAATCTTTCCAATTCTGTAGACTGCTGCTTTGTTTGAATGACAGTGTCCTATGCCTCATAGAAGCTTTTCAGTTTCATGAGGTTCCATTTGTTAATTGTTGATCTTAGTGGCTGTGCTAACAGTGTTCTCTGTTCAGAATGTCTTTTCCTGAGTCAGTGAGTTCAAGGTCATTCCCCATTTTCTCTTCTTCAGATTCAGTATATCTACATTTATGTTGAGGTCTTTGATCCATTTGGAGTTGAATTTTGTTCAAGGTGATAAAAATGGATCTATTTGGATTCTTCTACATGTATTGATCCAGTTTGACCAGCATCATTTATTGAAGATGTTATCTTTTTTCTGTGTTTATTTCTGGCTTCTTCATAAAAATATCAGTTGTCCATAGGTGTACGGATTTATGTTTGGATCTTAAATTCAATTCCATTGATCAATGTGTCTGTTTTACTGCTAATGCCATGTTGTTTTTATTGCTATAGCTCTGTAGTACAACTTGGTGATGTTGATAAGTCGTTCTTTTATTATTCAATATTATTTTTGCTATACTGTGTATTTTGTATTTCCATGTGAAGCTGAAAATTGTCCTTTCAAGGCCTGTGAAGAATTGTGTTAGAATTTTACTGAGTCTGTAGATTGCCTTGGTAGGATGGCCATTTTTACTATGGCAATCCTATCAATCCATGAGCATGGAAGATCTTTCCATCTTCTGATATCTTCAATTCTGTCTTCAATATCTTAAAGCTATTACCATACAAGTCGTTTACTTGCTTGGTTAGAGCTATTGTGAAAGGTGTTGCCCTGATTTCTTTCTCAGTCTATTTGTCACCTGTATATGGGAGGGCCACTGATTTTTGTGAGCTAATTTTGTATACAGTTACTTTGATGAAAGTGTTTACCAGCTGCAAGTGTTTCCTGGTAGAATCTTTAGGGTCACTTAGGTATACTATTATGTCATCTTCAAATACAGAGTTTTTGGAATCTTTCTTTCCAATTTGTATCCACTTGATAAACTTCAGTTGTCTTAGTTGCTCTAGATAAGTCTTCAAGTACTATATTGAACAGGTATGGAAAGACTGGACAACCATGTCTTTTTCCTGCTTTTAATGAAATTGCTTTTGAGCTTCCCTCCATGTAAGTTATGTTGGCCATGGGCTTGCTGTAAACTGTCTTTTTATGTTGAGGTATGTCCCTTGTACCACTAATATCTTTTTATCATGAAGGAGTACTGGATTTTGTCACAGGCTCTTTCTGCATTTAATAAGATGATCATGTGGTTTCTGTCTTTCAGTTTGTTTATATGGTGGGTTACATGTTGGCTTATGTATATTGAACCATCCCTAAATTTATGGGATGAAGCCAACTTGATCATGGTGGATGATCTTTTTTATGTGTTCTTGGGTTTGATTTCCAAGTGTTTTATTAAGTATTTTTGCATCTATGTTCAAAAGGGTAATTGGTCTGTAATTTTCTTTCTTTGTTGAGACTTTATATGGTTTGGGTATCAGGGTAAATGTGACCTCATAAAATTTATTGGGCAATGTTTCTTCTGCTTCTATTTTGTGGAATAATTTGAGGAGTATTAGCATTAAGTCTTCTTTGAAAAGTCTGATAGACTGGTAGAATTCTGAACTAAAACCATCTGGCCCTGGCTTGCTTTTTTGCTTTTTTTTTTTTTTTTTTTTGACTTCTAATTGCTGCTTCCATTTCACTAGGTATTGTAGGTCTATTTAAATTGCTTATCAGATATTGATTTAACTTTGTAAGTAGTAATTATCATCAAGGAAATTATTTATTTGTTTTAGATTTTCTAATTTGGTGGAGGACAGCTTTTAAAAACATGTCCTTATAATTATTTTGATTTCCTCCGTGTCTATTGCTATTTCTCCCCTTTTCATTTCTGATTTTTGTTAATGTGGATATTCTCTTTCCACCTTTTAGTTAATTTGGATAAGGGTTTCCAATCTTATTGATTTTTCTCAAAGGAACAACACATTTATTCATTCATTCATTCATTCATTCATTTAACATCTGGACTGCAGTTTCCCCTCCCTCTCCTTCCATTTCCTTCCTGCCCCTCCTCTCCCAGTCCACTCCTCTTCTGTCCAGAAAAGGCAGGCCTCCCCTGGGTATCAGCAAAGCATGGCATATGAAGTTGTAGTTAGACTAAGCACCTCCCCTAATAGTTAGGTTATCATTGGCTGATGATAACTGACATTTTTGCTAGGATTGGTTG